CCGGGGGCCGGCGCCTCTCGTGATATGCTCCGCCACCTCTCCATCCCCTTCCCACTCCACGGGACCACGGGGCTGCCGGCCACTCCTTGTGCGCCGATGTGCGAGCGTAGCGTTTCTTAACCGGCGCTCGTCCCAACACCACTCGCACACCATGGTGGGTATTTTTTCCTGGAAATGAGTAATTTGGCGTTTGACGGGTTTCTGAAATAAACGATTCGATTATGATACAGTAAAATATTACTTATATTTACATATACCTACGAAAAAAAAGAACAGTCGCAGTATTCCAGATCCATGATACTGTAACAAGGTAACTTTTTACAGTATCATGGATCTGGTATACTGCTACTGTTCTTTTTCCCCTGTTTTTCAACTACTAGATCACACAGCGACCTCAGTAATTACCATTGGTTTTTGAACTTTGGGGTTTAAAGCGGAGAAACTAGCATATTGTACACGGACACACACAGACTTCAATGCCTCTGGCGGGATTCGAACCCGCTACTTTTCAGGCACTAGACTGCCAAGGCCCTTCAGGCTTGGCTGTCTCGGCTGTCCAGGCCGACAAGACTTAGCGCAAACACGCTAAACGAAACTGGTCACTTTGTATCAGGAACCTGAGATATGGAACTGTTTTTGACAAGGGCATGCAGTTTGTTGGGCGAGGGATGCTACTTCGCCAACAAAATATTGATGTTTTAAAAAAGGGATCCTATTTATTAATCACAATTGACACTTAACTGAGAAAACAGTCGAAAAATTATCGCGACGGTTAACAAAACTTACTGGTAAATTCTCTTGTATAATGTCAAAATAATAGCTTAAATTTATCGACGAAAGCTTGTCTTGTCTTGTCTTGTTTCACCTTGGCTCTGCAAGAATGTTCAGTTTGTTGAAAATAGTTACTATTTTTTTCTTTTTTTTCTTTGTCGTTTTTGTGAAAGCATGGACATGGATTTCGCATGGAGCATCCCTGTAGCGGCGGGGCGCGCGCGTTCCAGTGTGGGACGAGTGACGGCACGGCGATCTTCCGCTTCCCTCACTCTCGCCTCCCTTCTTTCTCAAACTTCCGGGCGGCGGCGAGCGAGGGCAATTTCTCTTCCGTCGTCACCGTCCTCGACGTCTTTTCTTTTTGCGACGGGGGATCGCTCGCTCGCGCGCCGTCGTTAATCTTTCCTCGAGCCGATTTAGCGCGCGAATCTGACGCGTTTGCTCTTTGGCGCCGCTTCTTTCCCGCGGCAGATGAATTACTCTGGAATTCGCGTCTCGCCTGCCGCTCCACCTCCGCCACTGAAGCCGCTCGTCGCCATCGCCCAATGCGCACCACTGCTCTGCTCTGCTCTGCGTTGCTTTGCGTTCCAAGGCCCGATTACCGAATGTTTCTGCAACCGGGGAATGCCTTTTGCGTTTCATCAAATGTGAAATCCCCATTTCTTCTGCTGTGTTTTCATCGGCTGCAGCTCATTGACATTCCATTTTTATGCGCTGGTATTTGTTATTTATTTTCTTAACCGAACAGTAGGTAAATCCGTTTAGAAATATAAAAGGAACAGGATTGGAGAAATCACCGAAATCATCCAATGGTAATCTTCATAAGCTAGTTAAAAACATTTACTTCTTTTGAACGAAAAAGAACAACTATATGCTGTAACATGTAACTTTTAACAAATCGTACTGAATCCTCAAGCATTTACACTCTCTTCGGTAATCATGAATTTTCACTCTTGTCAAGTATATTTGAGACTTAACTGAGAAAACAGATTCACGTACAGAGTGGTTTTGGCGAAGTCTTTATAGATAAGTTGACGGCGGCTTTATTATTTTATGGTTGAAATTTTTGGGTGGAGGTCTCTGAAGTCTATAATTACTAAAGTGTACCCTGGTCATTTTTGTAGCTGTCAAGAGATATTTCACTTTGCTTATCTTTTCAGAATTTCCATGATGGAATGGCTTGTAATTCTCCAAAGGTCTCATCCACATGTATAGGGGAGAGGGGGGAGATCATCGTTTTGTGCAGTAGGCTGTGTCCTAAAATACGATTACGGTTCCAGCTGTTAGGAGCGGTGGATTCTTAGCCGGCAAATTTTGTCAGTATTCTTGTTATTAATTACGGTTACATGTGCTTCTGGAGAAAAACAAACAAACAAACAAACAATGTTTTCGAAAAATCCGAAGTACACACGAATCTGAAGCGTAATCCGTCAAGTTTTCCTTTATTTTTGTTACCTTCAACTGTTTTTACTCATCTATAAAAACGAGCTAGGTATTTTTTTATTGTGTAACCGATCAAGGAATTGATAAACTTCCTCCTGTTATGGAAAGTTTTTTCAATAGAAGGGCGATTCGGTGGTGGTGGTAAAATTATAGTATTACTTATCCGTTCAAATTGATACGAGCAAATGTGTTGTTGTATAAATAGTTTCGCAATCTTATTACTTGCACTTTCCTATTCTGTTTTTAACAGGTATGGGAAATCTTAAAAATGTATACCATATAAGAAGATAGTCCTAACTTGGCTTCTGTATTTCACTTCTGTGATAAATCCATCTTTGTATAGTAGGATTGTCAAACTCGCTTATAGACGGGATGGTCAGTAATTACGTATAGATGCAGTATATATGTATAGACGGGATGATGTAACTACGTATTCATATAGGCTACATAATGAAAGTAAAATGGCTAACTCTGTGCGAACGTGTCGCGAAACTTTGTCAAATAAAAATGTACATAGTGAGTGGGATTTCTACCCACTACATTCGAGGGTATTAGGGACTTGTTATCCTCGCTAATTCCTCCAGCTTGCTTCCAATCAGATCTGAATCGTTACCATCCATCCACCCATCTATTCACGTCTCCCGTCCTATTCGCAGCGCTCGTAGCCATTGTTCTCCGGCCCTCACGCAGGGCTGCATGGTTACTTTGGGGGTACTTTTACGAGAAGCCTCAACATTTTCAACTGATCGAAGTGTTGGGTTTTGTTCTTGGCAATTAGTTTTACATTGTGTACTTGTTGATGCATTAGCGTTAAAATAATTAGTTTTCGCTCGTAATGCGAAGTATTATTAAAATTTTACGATTAGTAATGAATTTTGTGAGTAATGACTAAGATGTGTTGATAAGGACAGAAACTACAGTATCAAAATATTTCCTAACCGTTACAAATGCGAGGACGTAAGTGCTGTTGTAGCACCACATGCTCTTTTCTATGTACTATGACGCAGGTGCGAGGCGGGTCGGCGTCCGAGGTTCTTCCGGTCGCCGGCCTCCGTCGCAGGGGGGGGGGGACGGCTGATTGGGTGCGGAGGCGGGAAGTGAAGCTGAGCGAAGGGCCGGGAGGGGAAGGGGTGGCAGGGGGAGGTCGCCGTTCGCGCCTCGACGCCGCCGCCGCCGCGCCGGTCGCTGACCCGCAGACAACAGGTGACGGCAGGCGGACGCGATCCGACCCCGCTCCCGCTGCGCAACGCACCCTGCCCGCCTCTCGAGAGGATCGATAGGCAGGGCGCCGCCCCCATCGCGACATGCCTCTCTCCTCTCGGCCTCCAAGAAACGGAAAGGGTTAAAACTTTTTTTCACCATCTTGAATCCTCCAAAGAAGCAGGCGTGGGGTCCGTGAATCCTCTGGCTCTTTAATCTTTTAATATTCTAAACCCTCGTGTCCTGGAAGAGAGATTTCTGCAACTGAATCGTGGGGTTTTATCTTCATTCGAATCCGCCCATTCTCTACCATGCCGGCACGTCTTGTTAACCTGTAATTACTCTAGTATGTTTTCCAAGAGATAATCCTTAAACATTGTTGTCGGGCGAATGACTTGAGACTTGTGGAGCGAAAGACGGTAGCGGCGTCAAATCCGGCGACTTGTATCCAAGAGTGTTTAGGCCGTTGTCACAGCACCAGAAGGAATGTTGGCTGAAAAGTGAACCATGCGCCAGAAACAGTGCACGGTGTAAAGAGGAAAGTAGGATTGAAGTAGAATTGGTGTGGTCGCGACTCAGGGCGTGTTGTGTGTGGTGTGTGTGTGTGGTGTGTGTGTGGTGTGTGTGTGTGTGTGTGTGGTGTGTGTGTGTGTGTGTGGTGGGTGGGTGTGTGTGGTGTAGCTCGTGTTTCTTGTGTGTGAGTTGTGTGGATCCGTGTGATTGCCACTGTATGTCTTGGTGCTAATGTTGTGTTGTGGTGTGTGTGTGTGCGTGGGTGGGTGTGTGTGGGGTGTGTGTGTGTGGTGTGTGTGTGGTGGTGGGTGTGTGTGGTGGGGTGGTGTTGGTGTTTGGTGTGGTGGTGTGTTGTGGGTGTGGTTGTGTGTGGTGCTGGGTGGGTGTTTTTGGTGTGTGTGGGGTGTGTGGTGGTTGGTGTTGTGGGCTGTCGGTGGTGTGTGTGTGTGTGTGTGTGGTGGTGTGGTGTGATGTGGCGTGTGTGTGTGTGTGGGGTGTGTGTGTGTGGTGTGTGGTGTGTGTGTGTGGTGCAGTGTGTGTGTGTGTGTTGTGTGGTGTGTTGTGTGGGTGTGTGGTGGTGTGTGGTGTGTGGTGGTGGGTGGTGGTGGTGTGTGGGGGTGGTGTTGTGGTGTGTTGTGTGTGTGGTTGTGTGTGTGGTGTGTTGTGTGTGTGTGTGGTGTTGTGAGGTGGTTGCCGTGTGCGCGCGTCGCCACGAATCTAGAAACTTCTGACCCATAAACAGTTTCGGTACGCACCTGCTTCGTATACCAAATTACATTAGTCATCAGCAGAAAAAAAAAATTTGGACTGACTATTGATCCAGCCCATTTGCCGCAGTGCCAAACATCCTTACTGACACCACCTTCATCAGAATACGAAATCAGAGTTGTGCGGTCTTTGTCGTGACAAGCGCCGAAAAGACTTTGACCGGACAGTCTAGAAATCGAATTTCAACTTGAAGGACTTCCTTTTGAAAAGTTTCGGATCGTCTACATTAAACTATCGCCGGAAAACCTGATATGTTCCCGTGAGCAATTGTCCAATTCGTGACAAATGTATATTGGCGTGTCTGAATGTCAGTATGCGTAGCGCTGACAGCACGGTTTGCTGCTGTTGAGCGCCATTTCGAGCTGCGACACGACGCGCCCGCCGCTGCCGCACCTAATGAGCTGCGGCGCAGTTGTGAGCGCTCCCGCAAACGCCTCTCGGCCGTGTGGGCGACGCTGCGTCGTGGATCCGGTAACCAGTGTGTTGTCTATCAGAAGTGAGAGGGGGGGGGGGGGAAAAAAGTAGTTTAGAAGAATCTTGGAAATCAGGGAAAAATATTTGAAACAATTATATAACCAGATTCTTTTTTTCTTTTAATATTGTACGTTTTGTTTCCATTGTCTGTAAGGGCAAATATGTAGGGGAAAAATATTGGAGCAAATTTTGAGATTTTTTTTAATAATTCCCTTTACTCCAAGCCACAAATTTATGCGAAAACTGCTTTTTTTTCCTCAAAACTTGTACCTATTCCTATTTAAAAGATATAATTTTAGAACGTATTCATTAAGCGGAAAATCCTTCCTGTTTCCAAAATACCCCTGAAAAATTAAATTACCGCTTTTGACTACATTCCTAGGATAAATAAAATTGAGAAGCTTTTTTTTTTTTTTGAAAATAAGTATTTCAATTTTCCTACATTTCACGTATTTTACTCATTTTTTAAAAACGTACTTTACCGAAATTGCGTCACCCTACCGAATTCGCTGCCGTGGATGCGTCATATCTCCGCGCCCCTTCCCTGCCCCCCGAACTAGACGGTTCCGGACATCCGCCGAGCCGTGGAAAACGCCGAGAATATGCCGGTGCCTGGAACAAGCGCCGGCAGTTATAAATGCGCCGTGCCCCCCGCGAGTCAGTAGTAGAAGACTGACAGTTAAAGTCATGGGTATAAGGGCGTTCAGTGAAGTGGCAGACACAGTCAGTCCTGTCAGGTGTGTCCGAAGTGGACTGTAGCTGGCTGAAATGTGCATTCGTGAAGAAGTTGCACGTTGAACAGCAGCAGCAGTCTGAAGTCTGCCCAGGGAAGCTGAGCTGTGAAGGTGCATCCGGTAGCAGTGTGGCAGTGGGGAATACAAGCAGTCAGCATGGAATTCTGCATGGAAGCTGAGCTGTGGAAGTGGCATCTGTAAACAGCCAGTGCAGTTGAGCCCTGGTGTGCGCATCGAATTGGGTCTGCGCAAGGAAATTGTTCTGCGCAAGAATTTGTGATCTGCCCAAGGAATTGTGTCTCCAAGACATTGTGGCTGCAGGGGAATTGTCTGTTGCAGAATTTGGGTCAAGTGCAGTGGACCGTGGGACAATGCATATGGACTGGCTGATACGTAGAAGAAGAAACTGTGTAATTAAATAGTGTGTAAGAGAACTGTGTAAATAAATCATCAAGAGAACGGAATCGTGGTAAAAGAAAATAATTAGATTGTATATATCTGTAAATAGACCAAGTAGATTTTAGTTAAATTG